AAAAAAAAAAAGAAAAAAGGAATCCAAAATGAACTAGGAGTGAGCTAAAATATAAAGAACCTTTTTCTTTACTCCATGAACAAGAAATCCCAAACCTTTCAAATCTCTTCTTCAGTCTTCTCCTCTTCTTCTTCTCCACCTATTCCTTAGGTTTCCGGTTGCTCTCTTCATCTCAAAACCCTAGCTTTCTCCTCTCTTGTTACAGATCCAAACCCTAAGAGTTAAACGGCGGCGGCGGCAATGGCGACGGCTGCGACGATGGTGAGTTCGGCGGGTGGTTTATTGGCGATGCTGAACGAATCCCACCCACAGTTGAAACTCCACGCGCTCTCAAATCTCAACGCCTTTGTTGATTACTTTTGGCCTGAGATCTCTACCTCTGTCCCTGTCATGTAATTCATTCTTCTGCTACTTATTTCTCTTATAATCTCAGTTTCAATTATGTTTTTCCCCATTATAAAAATATACTTTAATTCTTAGTTGTAGTAATTGAAATTCTATGGGATTGGACTTATAATTAATTTATTTTTCTTTAATTGTGGTAAAAAGAATATTTTTTAAGTTGTAGTGATTCAAATTTTGTGGAATTGGACTTATAATTACGTGTTTTCACTTTAGTTGTGGCAAAAAATAGCTTTTTTTGTTAGTTGTAGTGATTGAAATTATGTGGAATTGAAATTTCTGCTGTAGAAAGAGGAAATTGGTTTTTTTTTTAATTTTTTTTTCCTATTTCTTTGGTGAATTCTTTTGTTTTTGGTTTGTTCTTTTAATGATGGAAAGTATGGAATTTTAATTTCCAAGCAGCAGAGGAGGCTTTTTTTTTTCTTCATTTGGGTGAATTGAGTTCTTGAAGGTTTGTGTCTTTATGGGAAAGATTGTGTGTTTGTTACTTTCAATTTGAATTATAGTTTGTAGTGCGGTAAAATACTTGTGTATTTGTTCATTGCTTGGACATAATTGTGTGGATTTGGGACTTGTCAGCATTAGTATGAAAGGTTTTGAGGTCCCTTTTTCCTGTTTTATGTTCTAGAAGTATTTGAACTTTGTGGGATTTTTGAGGAAAGTAGGAAGTGGATGGTAAATTGGATGTTTTAGACAAAAAGGAAGTTGGCGCTAAAGAAGATAACTTGGAAAATTCGGCGAGGAGAACATTAATCTGAGAAATGTTGAATTCTTTTAGTCGATTTCGTGCTGGGGTTCCCCCATTAGTATGAAAGGTTTTGAGGTCCCTTTTTCCTGTTTTATGTTCTAGAAATATTTGAACTTTGTGGGATTTTTGAGGAAAGTAAGAAGTGGATGGTAAGGTCTGCGTACCCTCCTGAGACTGGGTATGTTGTTGTTGTTGTCGTAAGAAGTGGATGGTAAATTGGATGTTTTAGACAAAAAGGATCTTGGCGCTAAAGAAGATAACTTGTGGAAAATTTGGCGAGGAGAACATTAAGCTGAGAAATGTTGAATTCAGTGTTATAAATAGCGCTCGCCTCAGCGCTAATAGCGTGAGGCGAGGCGATGCGAACAGCCTGCGCTATTTTGGCTCTGTTGCGTTGCGATTGTAAAAGGCGAGTGCCTCTGCCTGTGTAGCGAGAGGCGAGCTGTGGCGTCGCTTTTTGAAAAAAAAAAGAAAGAAAAAGGCGCAGACATTAAAAAAAAGACCAGCGACTTAAAACATTAGGGCTTGCACCAATTTCATGTTTCTTTCTTCTTCAACCTTCAAACAACAGAGCAGCCAAGTCCACCCAAGATGATTTCAACCTGAAAGTTTCAAGTTTCTGCCATCCTCTTCTTCATCCAAGTCGATCCAGCCCAGGTTTCTTCTTCTTCTTTCTTCTTTCTTCTTTCTTCTTTCTTCTTTCTTCTTTCTCCTTTCTCCTTTCTTTCTTTCTTCCTTTTCCTTCTTCTCTTCTTCTTTCTATTTTTTTGCTCTGTTTTTTGTCGAGCAACAGTGCAGAACAGAGAGTCTGCTGCTCTGTTTTTTTTTCTCGTTTTTCTTCTTCTTCTTCTTCTTCTTCTTCTTCTTCTGGTCTTCTCTTTTTTTTTTTTGGCTCTATTTTTGATTGAGCAGCAGTACTGCACCCTGTTTTTGCTATTGTTTTTGCTCTGTTTTTTCAATTCTTTCACTGCTGGGAAGAGGCAGAGAACTTCAAAACTTCAAACCTGAAATTTCCTCCTTTTTCAGTTATAGAGTAGAATTAATTGCATATTGTGATATGAATCTACTATGACTATCTATTGAGTTTTTGATTTTTGAATTGATATATTTATTAATATATTATTGTTATTGAGTTTTTAGTTATATATATAATATTTTATTTTTTTTGTATAAATTGTCGCTTCACATCAAAAAGGCGAGCGCTTCGCTGCGCGCATCTCGCCTCAGTGAAGCGGGCCCTTGGCTGTTTGGGCATGACTCGAATTATTGGATTTTGAATGATTCAAGATTAGGTTGTAGGGATAACTTCTGTAAGTGGTGCTTAAATGGAATTGGAATTTCTAAGTATTAGGATTAGTGGACTTGTTATATTGGGCGGTCGGGTGTGAATTGGAAATTTTGAGCGACTCACCGTATGGTTTTTGAATAGTGCAAGTGTAGGTTGCAGGGATACATTGCCTGCATTTGAGTGCCTTGTCACCATGGAAGTGTGGATGGTAGGTGTGGGGGATGTCGAAAGCTTTTTTAGTGCTGGTCCTGGAAGGTTTTTGTAGTCAATATTATCTTAGTTGGAAAAAATTCAACGCCTAATTTGTTTTTCGCCTTTCTTCTTTTGGACTTTGAATTGAATGATCGATGACAATCTTAAGTCGAAAAGGTGGTACAGGTAAAGGAGGGTTAAGGTGAATTCATTATGGGTTCCATGGCAATGAAAGGCATTGCACATGCAAGAAGTTCATTTGTTCATAAGTGGATCTGGAAGTCAGTACCTTCTTTTAAATAGTGTTTCAATCTTGTATGAGCTTCATTTCATCATGACTGTTGTGGATTGAAACTCATTGATTTTGATGCTATTGTTTTGGCTGGGGTACTTTTTAGAAGTATTTTGGATGAGTTTTTCGCACCTAAGGATTCCTATCCTTTCAAATATTGTGCCTAAAACTTATTCACCTCCTTTATGCAAAATATTAGCCCTCATATTACTTACTTTGTGTACTATGATGTCTTTGACCCTCTCAGTCTATGCAGGGGTGTAATTATACTGTGTGGAGTTAAAACTTTGTTTTCGAGCTTGGTTGATAAGCCCAATGTGTTGAGATTGCACAAAAGAGAAGAAAAAAAAATATGTTTAGATACATTATGTTGTTTGTTCGATTATTTTAAACACCAAACACTCACACGTTTTAATTTAGCTAACCACAAGCTTAACTTATGACCGTAGAACTTTTATAATCGAGAAAACCTCGAGAGCCAGTTGGCCCCTGGTGCACGATTCAAAACACGGTGGATAATAAGCCTCTCTATTCTTCTCTACTTAAATACCACGTTTTTGTTTGCGACAAGGTTTGAACTCATGTCATGCGCCTAGTCCAGACATCCCCTTATGAGCTCTTACCCCACTGGACCAAAGCCCCGGTGGCCTCAAGGACCCGAGAACTTTCTTTATAAGCCACCAAATTGCTTGCCAAACATAGTTCTCTTGAATAGCAGATATTCAACCTTGTCCGCCAGTTTAGTTATGCATCAACTAATTAATATAGCTATCATCTAAACAGTCTGTCATTGTCATTGAAAGCTGAGCTTCACTTTATGTTAGAATGTGCATATGTAGAATGCTGTATAGTTTGCTTGGCTTTGTATCTAGTTTGCTGGGCTTTGTATCTAGTTGTGATATTGGGTAATTTCATGCCCTGCACTTCATGTATATATATTAATTTATTTTATGCAATTTCTGAAACCTAAGCTCAAGTCTTAATTTCTATCAACTGAGTATTCATGATATGTGCTTTGAGATCTCATGGACTTTTTAAACTTCCTGTTCGTGCAGTGAAAGCTTATACGAGGATGAAGAGTTTGACCAAAGACAACTAGCTGCATTAGTTGCTTCAAAGGTTACATTTTTGTTTACCAACCAATTCATTCCCATCTCATGTGGGAGACAGTTTATTATGGCAGGAACTAATTTTCTTATCAGCAGTCCTTTCTAACTTTTGTTTCTTTCCTCAGGTTTTCTATCATTTGGGTGAACATAATGACTCATTATCCTATGCCCTTGGAGCTGGCCCACTCTTTGATGTTTCTGAGGATACTGACTATGTTCATACAGTTCTCGGTATAAATTTCATATCATATTGTTACTGTTCAGATCTTATAAATACAAAAAATCATGTTGTTCTGATGAATTTGTATCTTCCAAATTTTCTTTCTCAACTTTCATATATTGCTTTTGATTTGCATCTTTCAACACTTCTTCCTCAAGATCCATATTTTTGCAATTGCTATTGCAGATGATTTTTGTTGCATCCCCTTCTAGCCTATATTGTGTTCTTTCTGCAGCGTCTTGGTCCATAGTAGTGAATTGTTGTGTCATACCTGACATCACTGGGTTGACACAACAATGCCTTGTCAAACTTTGAAGTAGAGGCTCATTCTCGCTTAGTTGTTTTAAGTACTATAATATGTCAATTGTTTTAGCTGTCCGTTTTGTTTGTCAACTTTTGACTCGTATTGTTGAATTGGCAATATCTTTCCTTTCAGCTAAAGCCCTGGATGAGTATGCAAGCCATAAAACTAAGGCAGCTGAGTCAAATGATGAAGCCACAAAGGTGGACCCCAGGCTGGAGGCTATTGTGGAGAGAATGCTTGATAAGTACGTATATAATATTTCATCTTCTGTTGTGGACGAATAAGAATGTGGACGTCTAATCCTCGCATTATTTTTCTGGGGTTTCCATTCTGGTTAACAGTTGCCTTGTTTCTTACTTAGGTGTATAGTGGATGGCAAATATCAGCAAGCCATTGGCATGGCCATTGAATGCCGAAGGCTGGATAAGGTTGCCGAAGCAATTGTTTNAACCCCCACCCCAAATCCGTGTGCTCTATATAATTTATGTTATCTTCCTGCTAGGTTTAGTTATTGCGTTGATTGCTTGTATTCTCCTCATAGAAATATAAGTCTCTGTCTGTCACCAAGGTTTTTTTTAATTTTTTTTTAAAAAAAATTGTTCATTGAGGTAAGGCATATACTGTGAGCTCCCCTAGAAAATTAATCATATTCCACCAAAAATGTCCCTTTGAGTGTTACCTTCTTCCAGTGTCTCCTCATCAGCGTCATCCCAATATCCCCTGGGGAAAATAGAAACAGAGATAGAAAAAAGGAATCGGTTTGAACATTATGAGTTTGAGTTTGGAATTCTACCACAACCCATTCGATTTAATTTGTTCAAAATCTACTGTTCGCACTTATTTAGTGAATTTGTTGACACATATACAAGGTCTGAGCCAAATTTGCTGGGTTTGGGTAAACCCATATCTTATGCACTGCATCCGCCTGTGATATTATCCTTATTTGTTTCGCTTTCTTGCTTTCTTGATAGGTGTAGGACGACTTCTTTAATACATTTTGTTACTTCTTTAGATATTCTTTAAGCATATTCGGAGAAAATTTTCATTTAAATCTTCCTACTTTCTCTTACAGGTGCTTCGTCTTCTTGTGGATGTGTATGAGAAGTCACCATCTCCAAACTATTTGAGCATGTGCCAGTGGCTTATGTTTTTGGATAAACCAGAGTCTGTAGCAAGCATATTGGAGAAGCTATTAAGATCAGAAAATAAAGATGATGCTCTATTGGCATTACAAATAGCTTTTGACCTTGTAGAGAACGAGCACCAAGCTTTTCTTTTGAGGGTTAGAGACCGGCTTTCCAGCCCCAACCTACAACCTTCAGAGCCGGCACAGTTGTTACCTGCGGATTCTGATCGAGCACCGACTGAAGATGCAGAAGCTTCAGAGGATGTTCCATTGTTAGAAGAAAGTAGACCTTCAGGTGGGACGTTAACAACTGCAGATCCAAAAGAAGCTATATATGCTGAAAGGTTGGGAAAACTAAAAGGGATTCTATCAGGGGAGACCTCAATACAGTTGACCTTGCAATTCTTATACAGCCATAACAAGTAAGACGAATGTATTTTACTTTTTGTTCAATTGATTGATGGAAAATGTGTATTCTTAGTTGTGTTAATCTTTGCGTACAGGTCAGATCTCCTTATTCTTAAAACAATAAAGCAGTCTGTTGAGATGAGAAATAGCGTGTGTCACAGTGCAACAATATATGCGAATGCGATCATGCATGCTGGAACGACTGTGGATACATTCCTTAGGGAGAACCTGGTGATTTTATATTTTTCCTTTTACCAGATTACCTTCTCAATTGGATTATATCTACAGCCTAACATAATTTCTAATGGGAATCTTTTGTTTACAATATCAGGACTGGCTAAGCCGTGCAACAAATTGGGCTAAATTCAGTGCGACAGCTGGACTGGGTGTTATCCACAGTGGCCATTTGCAGCAGGGGAGATCACTTATGGCACCTTACTTGCCGCAAGGTGGCGCTGGTGGAGGTGGTAGTCCATATTCAGAAGGTGGTGCCTTGTATGCTCTTGGTTTAATTCATGCAAATCATGGGGAGGGCATCAAACAGTTTCTTCGTGATAGTCTACGTAGTACAAATGTCGAGGTACTTGTATTAGTGAACTTTATCTTTCTCATAGGCGCCTTTATTTTTTCCGGCTACTGTTTTCATACTTTCAACTTTCTGTTGCTACAGGTTATTCAGCATGGTGCCTGCTTAGGACTTGGGTTGGCTGCTCTAGGAACCGCTGATGAAGAGATTTATGATGACATTAAAAACGTGCTATATACTGACAGTGCCGTTGCTGGAGAGGCTGCTGGTATTGGTATGGGTTTATTGATGGTTGGAACTGCAAGTGAGAAGGCAGGTGAGATGCTTGCTTATGCTCATGAGACGCAACATGAGAAGATAATCAGGTAGGTTGACAGCTTTAAGCCAATAGCCGAAATACAATTACTTGTATTAGCTTAGATCCTATTGTTGTCTCTTAATACCTTTGTACTTGAGAAGTTCTTTTTCCTGTTCTTTTTCAAGTTTTGCTTTTGTATTTTTGAAGAAGAATGATATTGTGATTAAAAGTTAAACCAATCCAAAAAAATAAAAATAAAAATAATTAAACATTGATGAACTATAGAAAATATTTTGCTTGAACTATAATAAGGAAATTAATTATTTGAATAGTGTCAAAAATGATTGCAGTACCTAGAAATGAACAACTGTTATCGTGTGAATAGATAGTTGGTATTTTGGATTGATTTTACTTGATAAACTACAGATAAAATGATTTTATACTGTTTGAATAAATGTCACCAAGTGATATAAGGAAACGAATAGGTATAATTATTATACATTTGATAGACTGAAAATTGCAATAAATATTTAAGAGCTAATTACTGAAATGTCCTTTACTGCTTGGCTCCGATACTCTCACTTCCATATTTTATTTTCTTTGCAACAAATCCTGTTAATAACAATATAAGAAAATAATGGACAGATTTTGTCCTTGTTTTAGAACTCACTGTTCCATATCCTCGTGTTGGATCTTTCAACTTAAAAGTTAAAACCTGTGTTGCATCCGTTTTCTTGTGAATGTCACATTTACTTTTAAAAAGAAAAAAACTGTGAATGTCACAGAATTAGAAATGTCCATTGCAAATTAAGGCCATCTGAATTTCTGTTTCAAAAGAATGGCTGGAATGTCCATTGCAAGTTAATGGTGTTTGAATTTCTGTTTTGAAAGAAGACAGGACATGTTGATTTCTTTGTCCGTTTTCAATTCTGAATATTTGATAGATATTGCCTTTGATCATATGTAGTAAAATCACATTTTAGGTACTATCACTTGTTTCAGTCCCCATGTATACATCCTCCTTTTTTTGTTTTGAACTTTTAAATTGTGTATATCAATTCCAAGAACGGCCATAATTTTTTCAATTTCAAGGTGAAAATTCTTCAGTGTAATTTTTGTGCACTGGGAAGTTTTCATCCTTCCCCTGTTTTTGTGCTATTTTCCTTTCATGAAGGTTTATTAGCAAAAAGTAAAATTTTCAAACTAAAGGGGACATGAATATGTAATTAGTCTTTAGGCATAATTACAGGATCAATAATGGGGCATAAAATAGGGATGACAATTTCTCCATCTTACTACATGTGTAGGCTGCCTGGAACACATTTTTCTTTTAACTAGTACAAAATAATATTCCATAGAGTACCTGGAGTTGAACATTCCTTCTGATGCTACATGCAGGGGTTTGGCACTAGGTATAGCTCTCACATGCAGGGGTTTGGCACTAGGTGTAGGCTGCCTGGAACACATTTTTCTTTTAACTAGTACAAAATAATATTCCATAGAGTACCTGGAGTTGAACATTCCTTCTGATGCTACATGCAGGGGTTTGGCACTAGGTATAGCTCTCACATGCAGGGGTTTGGCACTAGGTGTAGGCTGCCTGGAACACATTTTTCTTTTAACTAGTACAAAATAATATTCCATAGAGTACCTGGAGTTGAACATTCCTTCTGATGCTACATGCAGGGGTTTGGCACTAGGTATAGCTCTCACAGTCTACGGAAGGGAGGAAGAAGCCGATACACTGATTGAACAAATGACTAGGGATCAAGACCCTATATTGCGTTATGGTGGAATGTATGCTTTAGCATTGGCTTACAGAGGAACTGCAAATAATAAGGCTATCCGTCAGTTGCTGCATTTTGCTGTATCAGATGTTAGTGATGATGTCCGCCGGACAGCAGTTTTGGCACTTGGATTTGTTATGTATTCTGAGCCAGAGCAGGTTGGTGCTTTTTCTTGTCATATTTGAGACTGTTATGCTCTGGTTAATCATGTGCTTCTTATCAATCTCTTATTATTTGTGGTCTCATTTCAGCGGAATTACTATGTTTGACTTGTGTCTGCAGATCCACATTTAATGCTACTGTTATCCTATTTCCTCTCCTCTGCCCTATCTCCCCCTCCCCCAAGTCTTCTTCTTTCTGATGTGTTAATAATGTTTCCTTTTCAATGAATTTGCAGATGCCTCGTATTGTATCGTTGTTATCGGAGTCGTACAATCCACATGTTCGATATGGTGCGGCTATGGCAGTAGGCATTTCTTGTGCAGGTACTGGTCTGAGTGAGGCCATCTCATTGTTGGAGCCTTTGACATCAGATGTGGTTGATTTTGTACGTCAAGGTGCTCTCATAGCGATGGCCATGGTGATGGTCCAGATAAGTGAAGCCAGTGATTCCCGCGTGGGTGCCTTCAGGTATTTCATCTGAAAATGCATGTCACATCTCTCCTTATTTTTTCATCTTTTCCTGAGCTTGCTATACTTTCTTCTGTTCAGGCGACAACTGGAGAAAATTGTCCTTGATAAGCATGAAGATACCATGAGTAAAATGGGTGCAATTTTGGCCTCTGGTATTCTTGATGCTGGTGGAAGAAACGTGACAATCAAATTACTTTCAAAGACTAAACATGACAAAATTACAGCAGTCGTTGGACTAGCTGTTTTTAGTCAGTTTTGGTATTGGTATCCACTTATATATTTCGTTAGCTTAGCATTCTCACCAACAGCCTTGATTGGTCTCAATTATGACCTAAAAGTGCCAAAGTTCGAGTTTGTATCACACGCCAAGCCCTCGCTATTTGAGTATCCTAAGCCAACCACTGTAGCCACCACAACTTCTGCTGTCAAACTCCCCACAGCTGTTTTATCAACATCAGCTAGGGCTAAGGCAAGGGCTAGCAAGAAAGAGGCTGAGAAAGCCATTGCCGAGAAGGCAGCTGGAACAGAGTCATCTTCTGGTGCACCAAGTTCTGGGGAGTCCATGCAGGTTCGTATACGTTTCTATCATTTTTGTTTTGGATCAATGGTTTCCTTTAGTTAAGGATCAGGCAGACAGTCTGTTCCTATAATATTGTAGGCAAATTTGTATGGATGATCTTGCATAATTTTCTGCTTTTGTTGTGTAGTGCAAATAAAATGTATCTCTCTTTTAATGGCAGGTGGATACTCCAGCGGAGAAGAAAAATGAACCAGAGCCATCATTTGAGATGTTGACCAACCCTGCTAGGGTGGTTCCAGCTCAGGAGAAATACATAAAGTTTTTGGAAGAAAGCAGATATGTGCCAGTTAAATCATCACCTTCTGGATTTGTGCTTCTGAGAGATCTACGTCCTGACGAACCTGAAGTATTGTCCCTTACAGATGCACCCTCGTCAACTGCATCCAGCACTGGTGGTGGATCAACTGGACAACAGGCCCCGGCATCAGCAATGGCTGTTGATGAGGAGCCTCAGCCACCACCGGCTTTTGAGTACACATCTTGATTTATTTGTATTTTAAAAGCTTCATCAATACTTTGGTTTTCATTCCATGTTGGAAGATGATGTTGAATGGGCAGAGGTGGAAACCTATGGATCAAATAGCACTTCCTATGATCAGAGTTGAATTGTGGGGTACATTGAAAAGAGCCCCCGTGGATTCTGTTATTCTGCCTCTTGATTTCCAGACTTGTGCTTGTGCTTGTCATTGTATTTCCTACGCAAGAGGGACTCGAAAATTGGGGACTGGAAACTGCCATTGCGCGTTATTTTTGTCAGAATCTGTCTTGTCACCTCTGTCCTAGACTGTTAGATTTTTACTTTGTGTTCTAATTAAGATTTTATATTGCTTGGATCTACAAAAAGAGTTCCACTGTTCTCTCTCGAGTATTTATTAGTTACCACAACTTGATCTTTGCCAGTCCTAGTTTAAGCCTTTTGCAATTTGTTTGGTTTGATGCCGGACTGAATGTCAAATGTTTTCTGCAACCAATCGGCTAAGAATTGTTTGTTGCAAAGTTTTTATTATTCTGTCTGCCGCTCAACCAATTTTCATCAAACACAATTGAGTTTCACAGCTTTACATATGAGGATGTTTGATTGAAGCAGGCTGAATTTCTAGTTAATTGCAGTAGTAGGGCTATGTTGCTTGGACTTTCCGAAAATGTCGCCAATAGTGTATTTTTTGGAGGATACGACACGGGTACAACAATATTTTTTTTTGAAGAGTCCTGGCATAAAGTTTCCACTTTATAATGAAATGACAAGTTGCAAAATTTTCATACAAGGTCCGTGGATATATATATATTCATTATTTATTAGAAAGTCCTAGTAGAGCGTGTAAAGTTAAAATGGAACGGTATCACATGTAAAGAAATTTTTAGTTAAATAAAGGTGTCTAGGCTGCAAAGGCGCTTGCGTGTATGATATATGATCAAAACCAATCTCATTCATTCAATCCATAGAAAGGTTCAAACTTGAAAATTTTCACTCAATTTAATTCATAAAATCATATAACAAAGTTAAGTATTTATTAAAGCCTCGTGCAAAGAGGTGGTAAAGTTAGTTCTGCTTGTGATTCACATCAATTAATAGGTGGGAGGTGAAAGAAAAGGGAAGTGAAAGTGAGTAAATTCGTGAGGTGGAAAATTAATCCACAGGCTCTTCTCTTCTCCAAACCCCCTCTCCCTCTCTCATGAATATGGCAGATATATAATGTACTAAAATATTTACATTTATTAGTGTAATTTAACATATTATAAAAAAGAATATTTGTTTTATTTTTTAGATTATTAATTCCACTTATTATGAATAATTAAGTGCTATTACTTATATATATACACACACTTGTGTTATATCCTCTTCTCCAATAGTAACCCCGCAAATTCCCATCTTCTTATCCACAAGTAAATTCATCATCTTATTTTTTTTGTTTTAAATTTCCAATTGTCAAGATAGTTTGTTGCTGAATTTTGTCAGGTTTCTGGAGGTGGACCCAAGGATTGATAATTCACCAATGGATTGATTTTGCATGAATTTATGTACTATTAGAGTTTTCGAGTCTCTTTTTCTTTCTTTCTAAAATACAATGGAGGAAAAAGAAAACAACCAGGTATGTCCACACACATCTATATATTTTGGTACTTTTTCAATGTCAACATTTTTCATAACTTGTGTCTCTTCCTTTGACATATCAATACACTTCAACTCACCATGTTGTTTCACTTTGAACATGAAATATTTCTGCAGCCTTATTTGCCTACAATTTCCCCAAGTCTTAACCATCAAAATCCAGAGATGGTTAATGAAGAAGCTATGATGGTGTCACAAATTGAAGAGAAGTTTATAGAGTTTAGTGATAAAGTAGAGAATGCTACACAACTTAAGTTTCTTATTGGTGAAAATCTTGAAAATAGCCAAGCAAATGAAAGCAAGAAGAAGAGGAAAAGAACAAGAATCAAGAGTAGTGAGGAAGTTGAGAATCAAAGAATGACACATATTGAAGTGGAGAGGAATAGAAGGAAGCAAATGAATGAGCATCTTCTTGTCTTGAGGTCTCTCATGCCAAGTTCCTATGTACAAAGGGTATTAAAACTCGCTCTGTTTCATTTTTTATGATACCGTCTGTCCAAAAATGAATGATACCTTTCTATATTAGATTTTTTTAATTTCACGTTAAACTTTTCGTTTACTCTTAATGACATGTAATTATAGCCATATAAACGTGCATGTTTAATTGAAAAAGCACTATCTCGTTGAAAGGTTCTATACATCTGCCATTTCTCAACGCATTACTTTAGACAAAGAGACCACAATTTTAAGGGTATTTTTGATGTTTCAAAAATTAGTATTTTTCTTAAATTCCGTGCACAGTGCAAACACAACTATATTATGTAGATATGAGAAGAAAGATGGAAATGTTGATATTTTCTTTTTTGTGGAAATTTTCTAGGGAGATCAAGCTTCAATTATTGGTGGAGCAATAGAATTTGTGAGAGAATTGGAGCAACTTTTACAATGCCTTGAATCACAAAAGAGAAGGAAACTATATGGAGATGATTCATTATTAATGGAAATTCAAAATCCTTCACATCCACCATTCTTTGATCCTTTGCCACTTGCAAATGAATTATATGAAGGTGGAATTCAAGAAGAAATAGCAGAGAGCAAATCATGTTTGGCTGATGTTGAAGTGAAGCTTCTAGGTTTTAATGCAATGATCAAGATATTGTCAAAAAGAAGGCCAGGCCAACTCATTACCACCATTTCTGCTTTAGAAGATTTGCAGCTTAATATTATTCATACAAATATTACCACCATTGAACAAACTGTTCTATATTCTTTCAATGTTAAGGTACGTAGTTACATAGAACTATATGACCACCTCATCTAAAAGTTTGAACGGTTAAAGAGGGCACACATTTTATTTACTTAAAAGTAATTAAGTTTTGTGAACTAACGGTATATAGACAAAATGACACTATACCATATATAATAGGTAACTCTTAATTGCAAGCTTGATATGGTAATCTTAAAAATAAAACAATAACCTATTGTAGTCGATTAAATTAATAATAATAGTGATAGTATAAAATTTTATAGAATGTCACTATATTATATTTCCTGATATTGTTCTGATTTTTGTTTGTGCAGATTGCTGGTGAAACAAAGTTTACAGCTGATGGTATAGCAAATTTGGTCCAGCAAATATTCAGTTTTATTCATGCAAACAATGCCATATGAAATATACCCTAATTTACCCTGTACTCTTGTATCATAGCAATTCTAGTTTAATCTTGGATGTGAGCTGTTAATTAGTGACTTCATACATATTCTTGATCATTCAAATAAAAAATCAGCATAAATTCATGTGTATTTAATTTGCGATAAACTATATATTTACTGATTTTTTTTTATCTTTATGAGCTCATAATTGTTTTCTTTGTCAAATACTGTCTTTAGTAACTAATGGGAAACGATTTGACTGCAATTGTCACCATGTGTTCTTTGTTTCTCTATCATACATGCTCTCTGTTGCGTCTAACGACCATTCATTATAGCGTAAGATACAAAAAGGCAGAATACATCGAAAACCTGTTAAAGTTGTGACACTCTGTCTTTAGTTTGTTCCATTTGAACATTTTAATCATGTTTGTTTGGATAACAAGTTATCTCATGATTAATTATTCCGGAATTAGTTATTCCATCCTCCCGTAGGATTAAAAAATACTACAATTCCGAGATAACTAATCCCGGAATTAGTTATACCACGATTTTATCCAACTAAACATGGGATAAACTCATCTCAAATTTAATTCCGGGATTAATTATCCCTTATCCGTCATCAGTGGCGGAGCCACATACACTAAAGGGATGTCAACCAACACCCCTTCGCCGGAAAATTACACTGTATAGCTAGGTAATTTTTTTAAAATATGTATATTTACTATATAATGACACCCCTTTACTTCTTGAAGAGTTTATTTCTTTATGTTTTGACTCCTCTTAATGAAAATCCCGACTCCGCCACTGTCCCTCATACCAAATGAGTCCTTAGTGTATTATTTAGACACAAAATGCTGACATACTAAGGGGAGCCATGGCACGGCACTAGGTGTTTCTGTCGTGTAATTAAGAGGTCACAAGTAAGTCGGGAAAACGAATCTCTTGTAGAAATATAAGGGAAGATTGTGCACAATTGTCTCAAGGGATCAATTCTTCCTCAAATCTTGCGCCTATGGTGTGAGCTTAGTGCACCAAAATGCCCTTTTGTGTGTTAATATACAGTGGCAAGTGTGATATACTAAAAGACTAGAAAAGCAAAGGTTCTTTCCCACGAGAAGATTTTATAGTCACACAAATATTATAAAATATTTTAGACTACAAATTTTAAATATCTTATAGCTATACAAATACTATGATATGGTTAAAATCACAAGCTTTAAAAGTCTTCATTTTTTTTCTTAAACTTCATATCGAATCAAACTACGTAACATAAATTAAAACGGATGAAATATAAAAAAGTGGTTAAGGTGACAATACCTACCTAGTTGTGGTGTTTATTAGATAAATGGATTGAAATTGTAAGTTTTTTTTTCTTTTTCCGGGGGACGAAAATCAAAATCAAAAGGAATCGCTTAACCAAAGACAGTTCAATTCGATCTTAGCCGAGTGCAATTATGTGACATAGGGAAAGTCAACGTGCATGCACTGCCAAATTGTACCTTTGTTTTCAGATGGGATTGACTTTGTCAGGTCTAAATCTTGGAAGTATTAGGCTGTCATTGGATGCTAGCAAATTCTCTTTAATTTTAGTAGGGTCACTTGTCCTAAGAGTTTGGGATAAATATGGTCTTTTATTATGCACCATTTATTTATTTATTTATTTATTTATTTTTGTTTCTTTTAGGGTTTTCAGTCATTTATCTAATTTAGTCATGTTTGCAGTTTTGATTCATGCGCGCATGCTAAAGAATGGCATGTGGGGTTTGGATTTTGACTCGTATTGTTGTCTATAAATGCATCAAAAAGATCCAGAACTGTCCAATCATTTACTTTTAAAATGCAAAAGTAAATGTAATTTTTATTGGTTAGAAATAGAAAAAGATTTATAAATTATAATAATTTTGAATAGCATATGTTTACCAAATTTACTGCAACTTAGAGTACTTTTGTGTAGTTTTTAATAAATGATCTTTAATTTTAAAATTTGAATTGATCTAGTCTAATTTAAATTCGATAATTGATTAATTCACATCGATAAACTGTGTATCCGGATTTTGATTTTAACTTCATGTATATAAGAAACCAACATAGTTAGTCAAAATTAGACTAAAGCTTGAACATACTAATTATGTAAATATTGTATAGGCTATCATTCTATCAAATAAATCAAGACGGATGAAATTTATATCTGTTCCATTCTACTGTAAAATAAATTAGAGCCACCAACCCCT